CGAAGGGATCGAATTGGATTCCAACCAATGTTTTGATGGAAGACATCACTCCCGAGTACTTAAGACATCTGCTTCTGTCAGCCAAAGAGGCGAACATGAATATGATGAGAGTGTGGGGGGGAGGGGTGTATGAGTCCGACCTGTTCTACCAGTTGGCCGATGAGTACGGGATTATGATTTGGCAGGACTTCATGTTTGCCTGTGCTTTATATCCGGCTAACAAAGAATTCTTGGATTCCGTACAAAAGGAAGTAATAACACAAGTGAGACGCCTTCAACACCACCCATCAATTGCCATTTGGGCCGGTATTCTAATTCTTTACTTAATTCACTGTATAGTAATGTAGTAAATATAAATTTATTAATATAATACTTCCTTGAAAGGTAACAACGAGAATGAGCAAGGTCTTGTCTATTGGTGGAAGCCTCATTTACCACAATATGATATCGATTACCGCACTCTATATGTCAACACAATCGGCAAAATATTGGACACCGAAGATAGGACGCGTCCGTACGTGAGCTCCAGTCCCTCCAATGGCTTGGAGTCCATTAAGGAGAACTATACCGCTCAGAATCCCGGGGATACACGTTATGGTGACATTCATTACTACAACGATGGGTCCCGACTGTGGGACTGGACTACATTGCCGAGCCCCAAATTTGCCTCAGAATATGGATTCCAATCATACCCTTCAATGGATTCACTTTCTGAAGCCTTTTCTGCCAAAGAGCTGGTGTTCCCATTGACGCCTACAGTACAGCATCACCAGCACAAGTCGAATGAGGATCAGACTATTGTTCAACAGATTGGTAATCATAATAAATATTATAAATTACAAACAATATTCACATTTTGGTTATTATAGAGTATTATCTGAGAGTCCCATCGAAGGGAGGAATCGATAGATTAAATGATTTCGTATATTCTTCGCAAATAATACACGCCATGGCTATGAAGACTGAGACAGAGTTTTATCGTAGAAATCGCGAAATTGATCCCAAGACTGGAAATGGGTATACAATGGGAGCCCTGTATTGGCAATTGAATGACATATGGCCGGCGCCCAGTTGGGCATCCATTGAACACAACGGCAAATGGAAAGTCTTGCACTCGTATGCCATTCACTATTTGGATAACCATTTGGTGTCTCCCTATGAGGACAGGGATAAGAGTTTAAAAGTAATTTAGCAACTTATATACCAATAGATTGCAAAAGTAATTACTATATTAATTGTGTTAAAGGTATCGTTTGTAAGGGACGACTATTTAGGACAGTTGTCATTCAATTATTCAATCAAAGTGTATAAGTGGTCACAAGTAAAACCCATTCATACAGTCGAGGGTCAGACTAAAAGTGACAGTTTTTCGGCGAATATTATTCACACGATTCCGATATCAGATCTCTTGAATCAATCTAAATGTGACAGAAATGAGTGCATTCTCTCAGTTAATGTCAATAACTTTGAGCATAAAATTGATGTAAATATCAAAACAAAATTTCTCATTTAAAAATGAGTTTAATATTATAATATTTTAATTTTTCTACTAATTTGAAGGCAAATAACTTTATGTTGTTAACTGAACCGAAAAACTCAAAACTCGTGAAACCAAACATAAAACTAATTGATGTGAAGAAGACGTCGACTGAAGTGAACGATAAGACAGTGTTTGAGTTGAGTCTCTCATCGGAAACTGTGGCCC